CACAAAAACACTTCAGGACGTGTATGGACTTGCTGACTGCAAGTTAAAACTAACTCCGCGTATCACGGTGCATCTATTAACGCAGTAAAACATTTATATAAATGCTCATAAAATACAAAATAATGTTTGTTAAATAATTATATAGTATTATAATCTAATAACATACTGGAGATGAAAGAGAGATGATCATTTATCTTGGTACTGTAGAAGGATAGAGCATTCCAGAAAGCCAAAAAATATTACTAGGTATTGACCCAACCTAGTGATTTCATTCTAAAAACTCTGTCATACATGTTTTGTGTACAACAGCAAGAGCCTGAAAGTAACTTTAATGGTCAACCTTCAGAGCATGTTTTACTGATAGATCAACATTAGGTCACTCCTAATGATCATTAAGTAACATTATACATCTGCTCTGCCAATACAATAGCCACTATTCATGTGCAGCTAGTTGAGTAAAATTGAATTTAAAATTCAGTTCCTCAGTCAAACTAGCCACATTTCACGTGCTCACCTAGCTATATGGGGTGGGCAAAAGTAGGTTTACAGGTGTTTGTATGGAAAATAATAATATGAGTAAACTTTGTCTCTTGAACTCATAACTGTACAAAACCTACTTTTGCCCACCCTGTATATGGCTAATGACTATTATATTGGATACTACAGCAAACATTTCCATTATCCCCAAAAGTTCTGTTGGATAGTGCTGAACTGCATCTCCTCCTGCCACATACACCCATTTATCCAGAAACACCTCCTTAACCGTCAGGCCTGGCCTGAGCCTCGGCTAGTATTTGAAGCTTCCTCTGACTTACCCAGGAAATTTAGGTATACTTTCCCAGCGTTTCATCAACACCTTGATAACGCCAATACAAAAACTGCATCACATATAGTCATATCCTTTTCCCCATTATAATCGTAAGCTTTTTGAAAGAGGAACCAATTTTTATCCGGGTTTTGAACTGTTCTGGAACATACGGATAGGACCTTCATAACCTGTCATATACTAAGAACATTGCTAAAGACAACACAGATGTACACTATGACGACATGTGGAAAGAAAAACTTGGGTAGGTTGGCAGGCTCACAAGTGATTTTTAAAAAAACTACTAATTCTTTACCTCTCTCAGTACTTAACACAAGGAGCCTCCTTCACAGAAGGTGTTCAGTAAATATTTGTGGAACAGTTTCTGTATTTTAAAAAAAGACACCAAGAGTGAACCTAATGTACACTATGGACTCTGGGTGATAATGATGTGTTAATGTAGGTTCAGCAATTGTAACAAATGTATCGCTCTGGTGGGGGATGCTGATAACAGGGGGAGGTTATATATGTTTGGGGTCAGGGGGTACATGAAAAACCTTTGTGCCGTGAACTTTGAACTGCTCTAAAAAAAAAAAAAAAAAGCCCAGCCTATGAAAAAAAGATAAATTAGAAATCAAATTTAGCTTATTATATAAAAAGCATGTTTACATGTCCCAAATATTTTATTCAATAATAATACATGTCATATAGATTTATAACAAATTTTGAAAATGAAATCTCAAATTTCTAACCCAAATAAGACTTGTTTCCAGTGCATAGAAATTTTGACTGAAATAATCCCAGGTGCAGTGCTTTGGTTGCCATCAATATACTAACCCAACTTCCACACTTTACTAATTAAGCACTTACCTATGCAAAGCACTGTGGCCACAATGGTAAACAAGACAGTTTCTGCCCTAGCAATATTTTTTTCCAAATAAGAACTTTATCTGCAAGGTAAGTCTTCAAATCCATCTATCAACAATAGATATCCCAAAATGGCAAAAACAAGCTTCTTTCATTATCCCTATTTTCCAAATAATTTTTTAAAAATTTTATTAACCATTTGAGAAAATAGTACATGACCTGGTTTAAAACAGAAAGTTAATGCCGCATTTACTTGGCATCCTAGGGAAAGCTGGTGTTCCACATAAATGAGTTTTCCAGATAGCTGACACTTGTCCATTTAATATCAACACTTAAATTGTTTGGCATGGAGAGCATTTTTAAAAAACAGAACAAATCTTTAAACTTTAAAAAATAGGCTCTATTTATATTGTTCTAATAACTGTGCTGTACAACAGGCAAGCCCCTAAACTATATGTCCCCAGGGTGCCTTTGTAAAAGGTGAGGCTATGAAGAGTTTTTCTTCAGATCCCACTGCCTTCTGGTGTGTCAGCTGCCAACTCTGTCCTATCCGTGTGAACCTGACTCAGCCTCCCAGCCCCCTTTCAAATGTGCTGCTACTTAGAAAACAAGTTTGTCAAAATGTTGCCTAAAACACAGCCTTTGAGAAGTTCGACAAATCTATTTTGGTTGCTCAGTTTTTTATGTCCTGAATCTGCTAAAATCTAGTTACAAGTTCCAAACCAAGTTTTGGATAAATAAGTCACTCCTATATCTTGATTACAGTCCTTATATTGTTTTTATATTTAAAATTGATGTCAGAAACAACTTCATTACCTATTTACTCATTCAACATTTTTTTAAAATATATTTTATTGATTTTTTACAGAGAGGAAGGGAGAGAGATAGACAGCTAGAAACATCGATGAGAGAGAAACATCGATCAGCTGCCTCCTGCACACCCCCTACTGGGGATGTGCCCGCAACCCAGGTACATGCCCTGGACCGGAATCGAACCCGGGACCCTTCAGTCCGTAGGCCAAAGCTCTATCCACTAAGCCAAACCGGTTTTGGCTCAACAAATATTTAAGTATCACTATGAGCTAGGCTCCAATATTATGGTGAAGAATTGAAAAGATTATTAGTTTTGAAAATATTTTAAGATAGAAAAACCCTACTACAAAAAACCCCTATTTAACCCTAAACACACACACACAACACAGATTTTTTTTTATGTCTTTTAAGTGAAACTACACACCACCTAAATTTTTAAAATATCTGTGGGTTCTTTAGACTTAGAAACTGAAGATTCCAGGGTAAAGAAAGCTTTTAATTTAACTAAATATTTATTTTATAGAGCTCTGAATAAGATCCCAACATTTTCTTTTTTTTCTATTACAAATTCCATCTAGCTAAAGACATCACCACCAATATACGCTTTTAGTATTAAGTGGTACCCTCAGTCTTGGTAATGATAAGCATACCCATTTCAGCATCATAGTAGGTTTACCATCATCATTTTCATGTTGAGCAACATTAGGAAAGTGTTGTTAATTCAGGAAAATTTCTGTCCAAATTTTCAGAAGTTCCAAGGGTATAGAAATTTCAAGTTTTAAGAGTGGGTAAAATATGGTGTGACTCTACCTAATCTGCTTTATCTGCCACAATCATATTTTTTACATTCCATTACCCATTAAAACCTAAGGCTGGGAAATGAATCAAGGAGTGCAACTTAAAACTGGTCTCTACGGATTAATTAAGACATCAGGTAAAACCCCTGGCATCAGCCTTACTTGTTTTAATTCCCATGAAATCTCTCTTCTCATTCACATTCTCCTCAGGGAGCATAAGTTAACTACTCATATTTTAGATTTTATAATTGATTAATTATTGCCTTTATTATTTAGATTGAACCGGAAATGGGTATTTGTCATGTGCCAGCTGATCTGAGAAAGTAAAATATTTAGAAGTGAAAAAAGTTACTAACATTTAAAATCTTCAATTACTGCCATTAAAAACCTTTTTCAACAGTGCATTAACATCTCTTCAACATTCATTCTGCAACCTACAAATGCTTTAAACAGTCCTATAAAGGGAAATCCTGACCCAACTTTCAAAATAACAATGTGGTGGTATCTAAAATGTCACTTAATATCATCGTAGTTTTTACAAGTTGGCTCTGACCGCATGAGTATATCACCTTGACCTATGAAATAAAAACAATTCAGAGAAAAACCCAAATATAGGCTCTTGCTCTCTCTAAAACCCATTTAGGCAAAGAAACGAATGACAAATATTTACTGAGCACACCTGTTATAAGCAATATCTCTACCAGGTGCTCCACACTACCAGTTTAAACACACACACACACACACATCCCGCTCGAAATATATACAATATAATTAGAGGGAGAAAAGATATTAAAATATATTAATATGAACCAATAGAAAAGTAAATATATTTTTTTATTAAAAAGTGATCATGAACATGTAACGTTCTGGCAGCAGAAATGCAGGGCACTAAAATCAAATTTCAATAAAATTCTTTTGGCTTCCCTCTTTGAAATCTGGCAATCAAAATTAAAAACCAGCAAGAACTAAGAAGTGGGCCAACAGCATCACCACAGCAAAAAAACAACACGAAATCCTCAGGAGCAACTGGTTTTGGACCATTCAAAACAAACTTTTTCTGAGTGCTCATCAATAGCTTCTCTCCTAAAATCTTATTAAATTAAAAACAACGCCGATTCCTGGCTCTCAACTTTGCGGTAACCGAAGCTTCATGGGAACGCTCTCGCTTCTCCGATCCCGCTTAGGGGTCCAGCTACACTCGCGGGAGCCTGGAGAGCAGAACCGGGAGCCGATCTATTGTTCTGAGCACCGCAGGTTCATCTGCGCACCACGGGGCGCGCGGGAGCTGGGCAGGCGAGGCGCGAACCCGGCACAGGTGTGTGTGTTTGCGTGTGAAAGGGGGGCACAGGTGTGCAGGGCCACAACTAAGGAAGACAGGCCCAACTTCCAGACCGAGACCTCGAGCAAGGGAGGGACACAAAGTCATTTCTTTAACCCTCTGCTCAGGGGTGTGGAAGTGGGGACCGGGGAGGGGCTGCAGGGTTCCCAAGAGCCCACCTGCCTGGAGGCCGGGCACTGAGAGTGGACAGTCCCGAGGATCAAAGAAAGGGCTCCCCCATCGAAGGGCCAGCCTGGAGAGCCCCAAACAATGAGCAACGCTGGGTCTGGGTGAGCCGCGAGGGCTGCGGGTGTCGCGGAGGTGAAGCCGGGTGGGAAGAGAGAAACAAAGAGAGGAAGAAGCCCCCCAAAGTGCGCCCCCCACAGCGACGGCAGTTTACCTGGGAGAGCTGCCGCGGATTGGGGCAGCCGAAGAGCGCGGAGCTGGAGCTGAAGCTGATGGCTCCTCGGCGGCTGAGGACGTGCTGGGGGACCGGCCTGTCCAGGGGCAGCACCGGCAGCTGGTAACATACTTCCATTGAATACGCCCGCC